GTATCGAAGGAGTCCAAATGACGAGAAACCCACGAGGGACGTTAATTGTGGCCTTGAAGTAGAGTGGAAAGGAGATGCTTGGCACGAATGTCACTCCCATACATTCGTCATAGAGACAAGTAGTCAAAAGAATATTCTTGACAGCGTCAATCGTCTGGACAGTATCGCCTTTCTCACTTGGCTTGGACGAGGTGCCGAAATTTGTTGTATTGCTCAAGCTAACAAATGTGGCTTCTTTTTAACGAGAATCTCATTTACTAACATACCCTAGCATCCTGATCCATTGTTCCTTTACTTTCTGACAGTGCAAAATACCGAGTCCGTAACCTCAGGCAGACTCAAAGATTGTCAAGGTCGAACCACATCGTCGCATATGACTAACCTATTCGTGTGGATGATTGCTGATGTTTTTCTATTTCTTTTAGGAGTAAAATCGTCAGAGAGAGGGATCCCCTTTGAATTGTGGTTGCGTCTGTACTCTCCAAAATTGCGAGAGATATGCATTGCTCGTGGAGCGCTTCCATGGGACCTCCTTGAGCATCATCTCATGCCACCTCCTATGACGTCTTCTTCGATGAAGGGTATGAAGAAACTGGAGGAATTTTTACCAAAATGGAGTCGAGATCTTTCTCGTCATGCATTATCCCTCTTCGATGTTGCGTCAAATAAGCTTTCGGCACGTCTCTTTCTCAACATTGCATACAGGTAAAGTTTTTGTGTACATCCGCATTAGAACTCGGAAGTTATCTCAATACATTTCATGAGTTCTGACACCACCCATACAGAAAATTCAACTATTTTTGATGGCGTAAGAGGATGCACAAATCTTAGTGGAAACATGACAGAGGCACACGTAGATAAGTGTAGATAAAGTTTGCCAACATGGAAGTTGAATTTCGAAGGATTGAGGCAGTTTATATTGATATGCACGCCTTTCTCGCTACTCCTTGGCCTTACTTTCATATCCGTATCCATTTATAAATTGTCAAGTGTATTGTTGTCATTTACATATCCTGCTTACCTACACCAGTCTGTAAGTTCCTTACCAAATGCATTGTGAATTCTTATTTTTCACTGTGCCAAAGTTGGCTAGACAATGCTCCATTCTGAAATAACAGTTTATTGCACTTCAATTTTCCGTGGTCAGTAGGGGGAAATCTGTCATTCTATCTTGAAGTGTTGTAGGATGCTTTTGAATCATCACTCTGTTCACCTATTTGATGCTGGCTTTCAGGGATCGCATTAGCGTCAAAAATTTTGCATCGTTGAAATCGACTGAGGAGGTGACAATTATTCGTCCATTTTAGGCTTGAAACCACAATTCTGCGCACTTCAGGCACAAATATTATTGATGCGAGTGAAAGTAGAGGCAAAGGTGGTCTTTGTCACCCGCGTACAGCACTCCATCTTGCTCCTTCTACCGCACGTCCTGGCATTCATCTTCATGTGAATGTACTAGCTGTGTCAGGCCTCAGAGCAGCTGCTTCCAGCCTTGGTGAATCTGCACGTCTCCAATTGCGAATGCATTGTCTTCTTCTCCTTCCCTTAAAGTGTTCGCGTCATGCTAATCCACTTCGTCTTCTGGCTACAACGGTGTCAAAAGCACCACTTACCACTTTCCATGCAAGTCAAGAAGAACTGAAGATGCGATTGGATGTGTTACTTCCACTGGGATGGACCTACTCAACATCTTCTCATGATGAAGTGAGCTTCGATGCAGAGATAACTTTGCAAGTTCTATCTTAACCGCTAATGTGATGCAAAGGATGTAGCCACTACTCTAACTTTCCAAATTTCCAATGATTTGCCTCATCTAACTGGTGTAACCTCGCTCCGCCAAGTTCCGATGCGGACAATTGGTGCATTACGCGTAGTCCATATGTGGGACGCCAGTATAGTTGATGACTTTCTTATTGTGTTTTTGATTGTCACGTAGAACTTTGGATGAAGGGAGTTACCAAAAGTCATTGGATTTCCAATGCCCTTTTTCTTTTGCAAAAATGAATAGCAATTTACTTCCATTCTACCTTGTTCCAGATACCAGGAAGTAAGAAGAAGGACTAACAATCCTTTTGCTGTAGTTTTGTCAGCATTTCTACTAGTCGCG